CATATAGCCCCTCCCCTTCCTCCTTTCCCATATCCTTTTGTATAAATAATACCATTTTGTTATAATCAGATTAACATATAAATTTTGTAACCAAAGTAACATTCTTTTTTTTTTTTTTTTTTTGATAATTAGATTAATATATAAATTTGTAATCAGAATAATACAAAGAACTTAACCTAAAATAGCATATATTATACCTCGATTAGTACTTAGGCTATTTCGGGTATCAAAGTTCAAAATGATGCTATTCCAGGTATTTACCATTGATGTTAACATAAGTATCAGGTCCTTCACATGTCTCCAACTGGCCTCAGACCATTGTACACAGAATCGATGATCTGGCGAAAATACAGCCACAGGAGCCTGCCGTGCTGTTGGATAATGGCACTACCATCACCTATTCGTCTCTACTAGACCACTCGAACTCAATTGCCGTTGCACTACAATCTATCAAAGTCACCGCTGGTGATGTTGTAGCGGTTTTACAAGAGCCTACTGTTGCATGGGTCGCATCTATCCTAGGTATATTACGCATTGGGGCCGTATATCTACCTCTTGATCTATCTACACCCTGGAAACGCTCAGCTGTCATTGTCAAAGACTGCCGACCGGTCGCTGTACTTGTAGATAACGATACCGAGGAACATTGGCACAAGCTCAGTCGACCTGAAATGGAAGTAATCAACGCTACAAGGCTTGAACTAGGCCAGCCGCACGTGGGAATTTCCTCTCTAGTTAATACTGCAGCTGTGATTTTCTATACGAGTGGATCCACCGGTTTACCTAAAGGTATCATTTTGAAGCACGAGGGGCTGCGAAACTGGATCGAACCCACCGCAGATTTGTATAACATAAAGCGGGAAATCGTTCTTCAGCAAAGCTCCGCCAATTTCGACATGTCTTTCACCCAGATCGCCACGGCTCTTTGCTTTGGAGGAGCTATATACCTTCTTCCCATACGACTGCGCGGCGATGCTCGAGCTATTGGTGAGATCATCGATTCTCGCGGCATCACTTACACATGTGCCACGCCGTCAGAGTACTCCAGTTGGCTTAGATACTGTGATATTCCGGAGCGACTTCGTAATTCGAATTGGAAATTGGCTATATGTGCTGGTGAGCCGGTGACTAAGCAGCTACTCCAACAGTTTTCGGGTCTTGATAAGGATGATTTACGTTTCTTCAATATGTACGGCCCGACCGAAATCTCTCTTGTCGCCACTGCTATTGAGATAGCTTATAGGGAAGAACAAATTAAAACTATCCCCGCTGGCTACACATTACCCAACTACTTAGTCTACATAGTTGACGAGCAGATGAAGCTAGTTCCTCCAGGATTTCCTAGCGAGCTATATGTCGGCGGTGCAGGTGTGGCTTCCGGCTATTTGAACAATGCTGTCTTGACAGCGGAAAGATTTGTTCCTGATATATTCGCCACAGACAAGTTTGTGGCTCGAGGATGGAAGACTATGCATCGTACAGGTGACATTGGTAGATGGAGAGCTGATGGCTCACTAATCATCGAAGGACGTATATCGGGGGATACGCAGGTTAAGTTACGTGGCATACGGATGGATTTGTGCGAGATCGAGAAGTCTATTATCGAAACGGCTGATGGTATGATCAGCGAAGCAGTAGTTACTGTTCGCTCGATACCCGAGACTCCGGATTTTCTGGTCGCTCGAGTAAGTGCTTACTTTTCATATGCTCTCCTGTCTTTCATGTTGTTTTCTGTTACTCACTCGATTGTTTTGACTAGGTGGTGTTCAATCAACGCAACTGTAACGAAAAAGAACGATCTCAATGTTTGAAGAAACTACACTTTAAGCTTCCCCTACCACAAAGTATGCACCCAGCAGTAATACTCGCTGCTGAGAGTTTCCCGACGACGAACTCCTCAAAGATCGATCGAAACGCCATTGCTGCTTTACCTATACCGAACAAAGAAGGATACAATGTCGTTTTGAAAGACGAAAGCAACGAATCCACCATCAGAAACCTGACCTGGACGGAGACTCGCTTAAAAACTATCTGGGAAAAAATCCTCCCCAGCCCAACTCTCAGTATGCGTGATGTTACTCCCGACACAGATTTTTTCCATGTGGGAGGCACGTCGATATTACTTCTCGAATTACAAGCACGAATCCGAGCGACATTTGGCGTCGAGATCCCCTTGGTCCAAATGTTCGGTTCTAGCAAATTAGCCAACATGGCTTGTTGCATTGAGAACTGCACGCCACAAGCGTCTGTGGATTCTCTAAACTGGGACGCAGAAACGGCTTTGACTCCATTTCTATCACAGCTGGCAGTTGGCAATAGTCAGATAGTCGAGCCTGCTCAATTTGACAGAGCAGTTGTGCTGTCTGGGGCAACTGGATTCCTAGGCCATGCGCTTCTAGCTTCCTTAGATGCAGACCCGCGAGTCAAGACCATTCACTGTGTTGCCGTGCGTAATGCAAGTAAGCGTGATCATATATCTCGTTTCACCAAAGCCGTTATTCACGAGGGTGACTTGAATATTCCCTGTCTCGGACTCTCAAGATATCATGCGCAGACGATTTTTTCCGCAGCTAGCCTGGTCATTCACAACGGTGCTGACGTTTCGTACTTGAAGGGCTACTCGTCTCTTCGCATTACTAACCTTCAATCTACCAAGGAGCTTGCTGCTCTCTGCTTCCCGCGTTTAATTCCATTTCGTTACATTTCCACCGCAGGAGTAGCCATGTTTGCAACTGCTGCGCTTGGTCCCAACAATGATTTCGCGACCGCCTCGGCTGCTTCTTATCCGCCACCTGTTGATCTTAACCTGCCCGTCTCTGGTCATAATTACATAGCCATGACAGCTACCAAGTGGGCAAGCGAGAGATTTTTAGAACGCATGGTGACGGAAAAATTTTCTGCTTGGCCAGTTTTTATTCATCGATCGAGTCTAATTGAGCGACAAAACCAGTACGAAAAAGGCCCTGGCCTCGATCCTGTGAGTAACTTGCGTTACTACACGCAGCGTTTGCATGCTGTGCCTGTTATCCGTACTGGTGCGTCCGACGCACGATCTCTTGGACAACTTAACCAGGTATCTCTGGATATCGTTGTACAAGGGATCTTACTCTCTGCCTTTGAATTTGACAATCATAAAATCGAGCACTCTGCGGGTTTGAATAAGAGCAAGGTGCGCTTTTTACATCACTTGGGTGATGTGACACTTCCTTTGGGAAATTTGCGTTCATGGGCTGTCCAAGATGGGGAAAATGGAGAGGCTGCAACGATTGAGGAGCTACCCATTGATGAATGGACTAGGAAGGCAGGTGAGTGCGGGATGCATGTCATGGTTGTTACGCTTCTTGAGCGTCTAGTAAGCGGAACTGATGTTGTATTTCCGAAGTATACATAATTAGATTAGGTAGTCCTTGGGTTATTTCGTCATGCGCGTCATATAAACGGAGAAATTCCATGATAATATTCATACCATATATGTATGTCTCATATCGTCTACTTATTAGTATATATCTCAACATCTATTAGCATTAATTCAAGTTCTTCAGGCCTTTTTCAAAGTTATCGGGTTGCAGTTAACATATGTCCATCATCTAATCTAATTCATATAAACTCATTCCCAAACTCCGTATAGTCAGTATTAGTTAACCAATCGAATCAGTGCACTGGTCAACTACTATATAGTTGAACTTCGCAAACTAAACTGCCAGTTTCAAAACCAAATCGCCAGGTTAATCGATTAACCCATCAAACTAACAGTCGAGTTCATCAAATTCCAATTGGCGATCAATTCAGTTTAGTTTGTATGAGTTCAATTATCAGTTAAACTACCGACTCCCATACAATCCGTTTCCCGACTTATTCAAATTACTAATTACACCACCAAAATTTATTATTTTAGCTTATAATTCAAAAAAGAAAAAAGGAGAGAACATCACGACCAATCAAAGTATGAGTAAAGACTACTCGAGTAACAAATTGCAAGCAATCCTGAAACAAAGTAGCAAGCATAAAGCTTTCCTCTCAATTCTTTTTCCCTTTCCCTTTCCCTTCCAAAACCTTCACAAAAAGATTGCATGAATCAAAACCACAACTATCCATCCATCCATCTATCCATCAAATCAACCAAACCATTATAATACAATATCTCCCTAATTAATATCCAAATATATATATCTCATCCCATCATGAAATATCAAATCATCAACCTCAACCTCAACACCCGTCACCCATCACCCATCACCCATCACACACTCGCACTAACTACCTTAAGCACCCCATCCCATCCCCACCCCATCTCCACGCTTCCCCTGAGACTCCAAATTAAAACCACTCCAACTTCCCAACTTCCAATATCCAACTCTAGCACCCCAAAAAGAAAACCCTCAAACCCTTCCAATATCCAATTTCCAATTTCCAATCTTCCACCCAGTCAGCCATCGCCTTCCACCCCAAAAGAAATATAAATAGCACCCCCATCCCCCCCTTACCCGCCCCCGCAAAAATCATATGGTTTCTAATACCCATATAAGGCAAGTTGATTCCCACTGCATAACACAAGCAAACACTCAGACTATCATTTCGAATCAAAGCAAATAGCAAAAACAGCTAGCAAATAGCAAAATTAATATCTATATATCGATATCATCCTCCCATATATAACATCTAGTATCATAATCATATATGCACCTTCACCTTATCTATATACTCACCACCTCCACCCCCCCAACCCCCAACCCCAATCAAGTAATATCCACCCATAAAGACGACGAAGACCACCCCCGATTACTTTTGAATCTTTAAAAGATATATACGCGAAGAAAAAAACGAAGCGCACACTCGCACGCTTAACGGATCGTACCACCCATCACCCAGGAATAAGAGATCTCGTTCCGACATTATGGCCGCACCAAAACCTTAGAACTCCCCCACTCCCACTTCCACTCCTACACACACAATGAAAATAAATCTAACCCCGTCTCATCAACCCCTTCCTCCCCTTCATCTCCCTCCTACTCCTTCCCTTCTTCGCCTTCCCCCCATCTCCACCCCTCTTAACATAGATCGTCTCCCCATTAACATCGACCCCCTCCCCTTCCCACTCACTCCCAGGCCCAAAATCCGGTTCACCCCCCAAACTCCCAAAAACATCCCCCACATAATTCGTCGCCACTACCCCCTTCTCAAACCTATCATCCCACTCCCCAATAATCCCCTTAATCACCTCCGTCCCCGCTAAATATATATTCTGCACCGCAATCTCAAAGCCTCCCTGATCCGAATACAGCAAATTATACTCGACACTCGCACCCGGGTACGGACGATCGAAATCCGACGCCGTGCGCATGATGATGATTCGGGAGAAATCCACGAGCTTGAAGAGCGCAGCGCGCAGCAGGGCCGAGAGTGTCGCGTTATCTTCCTGCGCCGTCATGCAATAGGTTCCCGATCCATTGGTCAGAAGCGCCGTGGTGTTTTCAAATGCTTCCCCGAGGAGAGTTCCAGAGTAGTATACATCCGATGTAGCGGTATCACACGTGATGACGGTAGGCGCATGGGTGGCGGCTTGATATCTATTGGCTTGGGCCGTGTTGCTTTCCACTTCGTATAGAGCGCGGTAGGAAATGGAAGTTGAGGAATCGTTCAGGGATGCTTTTTGCGCAAAGGCGACGGCGATATCTCGGAGGGGTTCGCTGACTTCGAAGACTTCGGTTCCGTAGATAGAAGTGGGATATTGGTCGGGAGCATATGAACCTTGGGGAAAGTATCCGGTGGTGAAGTTCTCAGGTTTTTCTCGGGCGTCGAATTCGTATTGGAGGGCTACTTGAATGGCATATTTGGAAAATGCAACGTCACCGAGTGTACCGTGTTTGGGGTTGATACCAGCGATTCCACCAACGAGAAAATAAGTCGAGGTGAGATCGAAGGCGATAGAAAGAGTCAAGGCTGTGATGGTTGAGGCAGCGTTGATTTCGGATTCTCCAGTGGTGAGTTGACAGACGGTACCATCGGCAAGACAATGAGCTTGTGGGAAGAGAGGAGAGAAACCGGGGACGGTAATATTTTTCGCAAGGAGATTTCCAATTGAACCCGAGGTATAAGAGTTTTCATACCAAATATCTGCTTCGGGCGAGAACTAACAATCGGTCAGATAATATTCATACACTCATTATACATAGTTATCGCAACTTTTTGGGCGATATGATTGAGGAAGTCCAGATGTGAGAGTAGATGAGATGATATCAGAGATACATACCATAGAAATAATAAAAACCTTAGGTTTCACCACACTAGCTGTTGTATTCGTAACATCCAATTTGATATCCAAACCATCAGCTTTAATACTTAAATGTATATCCTTCTTTTCTAATTGAGTTTTCGGGAGTCCATATGGTTTAGTGGTTGCAGCAGCAGCAACCGATCCAACACCTGCTAAGAGGCTAAGAAGAGCCGAAGTACGCATTTTCGATCGAGAGAGTAGCCAATGACGAAGTGGAAGAGAAGAAAGGTATAGAAGGAGTCGCGTGAAGAGGTCTTGCCGGGAGGTATATAAGGAAGGGACGAGTAGGTGGAGGAAAGAGCGCAAGGAGGAGATAGTCGGATAAGTATGCTCAATGATCTACTCGTATCTACCCAAGTATCTCAATTGAAGCACACAAGAGAAGTTATAGAAGAGGTAAGGAAAGAAAAAAAGAAAAGAGAAACATCTGCATCTCGAGGTTCTGGAAGCTTAATATATTCCGTGGTACCTGCAGTCAATTTATTAGTTACTTCATCATCTAATCCCCACAAATGTCCTCAAAACGTGTTAATCACACTCTTCGGATGTTGACGCATCTGTTTGTTTCTTTTCTGGTTCATCCAATAGTATATCTCATTTCGTTGAGAGGAGCTGACCGTTGAGCTGATCTTTAGATATTCCTTGCAGATACTAGAGGGGGTAGCTAGGTTGTAGCTAGGTTGTAGCTAGATTTGTATTTAGATAGTTATTAATATACTCGAGTAAAATATTAGATACGGATATCAAATATGGAGTAATACCATATATACCATAACAAATCTAATCCATCCCATCCCATATCAAAGATAGCAAATAATACTTTCCGCTTCCTCTTTCCTCTTTTCTTCCCATCCCTCGTTCCCAAAAACCCATTCCGTACTTCCTCCGATATCATTACCAGGATTAGAATTCATTCCTTATCGCATTGCATAGGTTGGTACTCCATTTATACGAACCTATCAACCATAATTTTGCATCCTGTACCATACCTGTACCGGTAATTCTCCTCGTTACACTTACATATCCAATCAATTCTCCTTGAGTGGTCGTCCATTGAATGCTTGACGTGATATCAGATCTCTTTAATTATTATTGGTCTGTCATCATTGTTGTTGTACCAACAGGCAGAGATTTATTATCATTTCCATTTCCATTTCCATTTTTATATTGTCATTGTCATTGTCACGGTATCAATATCAATACCAATATCAAATCTACTACTCGAGTAGCATCAATAAGAGTCCCACCAAACCGATCCTGTTCCTTTTCCTGTTCCTGAATTCGACTTATATTACTTCCTCTTATAGGCTAGTACTATAATGTCAATAGAAATAGAAATAGAAAAGTTTGAAGATTATCAAATCAATATCTTCATCTCCCTTACTTCAAATCCTCAACCCATCCTCAATCCCATCTATCTAATCCCTCTAATAATCGTCTAATTCCAATCGAGACAACCATTCATTATCCATATCACCCTATCATCTTGGCAAGAGACATAATACGATCGACGCGATACCGGTACATACTACCCGAGTGTAAATTATGAAGTCTTCAACAATTGATATTGATTGTATATCGGAGTCTATGATCTAGACAGGATAATATTAATCAACCTCCGGTGAGCTCCGCATCCCTCATCCACATCCCATCCACATCCCATACATATCCCATATCCCATCTACGGAGTACAACCCAGCACTCCACAAGATAATAAAACCCCACTCCCATCCCCATAACACTGTACCATACCTTCCTATCTCACCCTAGCCCTAGAATTTTCCCACAAGCATTATATCATCCAAAAAGTTTAAACATCAAATTCATTATCAATACATCGTTTCTACTCTTCCCCTCCCTATATAATAATACTATACAACAAGTCCAAAAAACAGCCTTTCGACTTCCCTCTCCAATTGCAATCAATCATACCTATCTACCTACCTACCTACTTTCACTTTATTACTGTCCACATCTACATCTACTCATATATACATCCTCCTAGTGCCTATACAACTCACGCAAAACTCACCCCAAATTCACAACAAAAACCATTCACATACTAGCATCATGAAATTAACCCAAGACTTTTCTCACACGTATAACCGATCGATCGATAATGTATCGACAACAAAATTCCTCGTGGTATCCGATCCGATTGAGACATTGGTATAGAATTGAATGCCTATTCCTTCCCGAGACCCCAATCAATATATTATGTATACAGTATCACATCACATCACATTACTTGTACTGTAATAAAATTCTAGCCCTCAATTGAACATCTATCATATACTATCTATACTGTAGCAAGGGAATCTTGTTTGTTTGTTTGTTTATAATAATCCAGTTTAATCAATTGCGATTATCAAGATGAGAAACTCATCATTCATCACGAGCTTGGCAAAACCTTGTCTTCTTCCACCCCTCCCACCCTCTCCCACTCTCATCACTCAATGTATCTATGCTCAATAATGGATTATGTTTATCTTTTTTCAAGATTAAAGATATGTTTATATTTGCCGAATCATTATATTGAAATGGATTAAATCTAATATATAATTCAATTATCTGAATTACTATTATACTAAGTACGACCTCTTTATATCTAATATGGTAAATACCTGGAATAGCATCATTTTGAACTTTGATACCCGAAATAGCCTAAGTGCTAATTGAGATATAATATATACTATTTCAGATTAAGTCTTTTGTATTATGCTGGTCACAAAATAAAATATATTAATCTGGTCTCAGGAATAGAAATGATATTATTCTAGTCACAAATTTATATATTAATCTAATTATAAGAAAAAAAAAGATACTATTCTGATTACAAAATTTATATATTAATCTAGTTGTTAAAAAAAAAGGTGTTATTCTGGTTACAAAATTTATATATTAATCTGATTACAACAAAATAATGTTATTTATATAAAAGGATATAGAGAAAGGGAAAAGGGAGAGACTATATAAAAGAATATAAGGTTATTACTTATATCAAAATAACAAATCAACTTTGAGATCAGAATAGTACTCTTTTCTTTTTCTGTAATCAGATTAATATATAAATTTGTAACCAGAATAGCATCATTTTATTTTTTTGAGACCAGATTAATATATTATTTAAAAACGACTGAAATAACACTTTTTGAAAAAAAAAACGATTGAAATAATACAATATGTTAATTCAGGCCTAATTAGAAAGTTTATATGCTATTTCGGGTATCAAAGTTGAAAATGATACTATTCCAGGTATTTACCATAGAATAATATATAAATTATTTGAGACCAGAATATTATTACTTTTTTTTTTTGAAATCAGATTAACACATTATTTAAAAACGACTGAAATAATACAATGTATTAATTCAGGCCTAATTAGAAAGTTTATATGCTATTTTGGGCATCAAAGTTGAAAATGATGCTATTCCAGGTATTTACCGTATCTAATATATCAAAAGAAGTTCTAATAAGCAGCAAGCTGCAAGTCTACTATCGAATGTCAGTACGAGTAGATAACGTGAAGTACCGTATCTAGCTTATGTCTACAATTACAATAAGTACTCTCATCCCCCTCCCTATACTCGATTAGTTTCCTTTCATTTCAGACACCAGTCGATACCAACCGATAATACTCGTCGTATATGGAGACAATATCTATCCCGGTACCTATATATATACCAAGAAGGCGCACTCAACTATCGCGATACCAAGATACCGATACCAAAATACCAAGCTTCTACCGGTATATGAGATGAGACGAGGTGAAGTATATCGCAGCGGTGTGAAAGATAACAAACACTACATATGGGTAATGTTATGTCATATCATATCATAGAAATAAATACCGTAGTCTATCATACTCATTCCCAACTCCCGAATCATTCAGAGACAGACAGGCACATACTGTATTAAAAAGGCAACTTATTAAAAAGGTAACTATCATATATCATTCATTCACAACTCAGATGTTTGGTGTTCATTTATCTCTTCATCAGCTCGTCTTTATACACTTTAAGCAAAGGAAATAAAAGGATCGATTGTCACGTCACATCACTGTCGCTCATGATAATCTAATGCGACTGATACTAATACACACTCACTACACGTCTGCCTTTCAATCCTACTCCACACGAGAGCAAGTTTAGCGTGTCGAGGCCCTTCAAAACAGAGATGAGGTGATTTTCTGCCGTCTAGTAGACGAAAGAGCCTAGGCAAAGACATGATTATCTCATCTATTGCAGTTAGTTGTAATGTCTACTTTCGTATGAGAATCATTTCGAGAGCTTTTGTAGTCAATTTCCAAGTGAAGTTTTGGGTTTAATCCTTCGAAGTTCCATCTCAGAGCGAGCAATCAATATCATGAGTCTATTGTGCATCGCTAAATCAATTGAATTCATCAATAATAGAGGATAGGAAACCTAGCCAGTGCTCTAAATTCAAAGTCTAATACCCGAGGGCAGGAAACGGGTCTCTCGTCAGCATGCATGGTTACATTTTGTGAGCAGTTAGTGACGTTGGCTTGGCTTCCAGGACTAAGCGCTAGTGATTTTGATAACTCCAAAATGCCATCTAAAATGCAACCTATTCTTTTTCATGGAAATCCTTAGCTGGGAGCGAAAAGAGGCATTTTGGAACTCGAATTCAATTATCCGAACCAAAATCAAAATATCCCACAACTAAGTTTGCCATCATCAAAGCCTACCGGTATACCAGGCTTCATCGATTCGGCATCGAACTTGTCACAAGCGGAGCCGAACTCACGTTTCAGGGCACCGGCAATTCATATTCGCTCTGGGCTGCGGTTCTGTCATGGAGACGACGCACCTTTTCGTCGTCGTCAATGTATATTATGTATTTTGGAACGCTGATCAGAGACAGGTGTGGAAATCTTACCCTTGTTATGAGATTGTTGAAGGCAGCAGGTATGCGGCAGAACGATCGAAGGTTGCAAGTGATGTAAGGAAGGAGCGAGTAGCGACATGCGTCGGCCGCAAAGTTAGCCGCGGAAAATGAGAGCAAAGGAGGGCACGATCGGTGAAGGACTGAAGATTGTGGAGGCCATCGTCGGGCGTCGTTAAAGATCGATGTCGATGTCTGTATGACATTGGAACATCTGTAAATACAGTCAGCTCAGCCAGCCTCTGAAGAACTGTGAAAAATGACATGTAGAAATGCTCATGTAGATAAAATAGGGGTACTTACTTGACTTGACTGATTATAAGAATAATAATAGCTCTTCATTGTATTTTGGGCTCTTCCTAGTAAAGTTTTCCCCACAGCGTGTCATCTTGGACGATAGTAAGATCAGAATGTAAGATCTTAGAAACTTCAGATGATTGTTTCTCTTTAATCCCATACTTTCAGACGAGAAAGTGTGAAACAACATGATCAAGTGGAGGTGGCTGGAGTACTAAGCATAAAGTGGCAGATACTGCATGGGAGCAAAAGCGACTTTTGTGAATATGTCTTTGCCAGAACTCTGGCAAGAAGGGGGTTTGTGTCGAAGGGTCACTTTTGGGGTTCGTAAATCCAATGGTGCTTACACCCGCAGTCTCAAGAAATAAAAGCCCAAAAGACAGGTCTGACTATACAAACCTAATCATCACATCAGCGCTTAGGGGAGGTACATTTGTAAAGGCGATGCTTAAAGCTGCAGAAGTCGACATTGTTCCGAGCAATGAAAAAGACCTGATGCCGACCCCAAATCTGTATGGTTGGCCGAAGCCTTTTCAGGCACAATCCAAGATAATATTGCCGGGAACCAGTCCTCCAACAATTCTGATTTGCGAACTGAGAATTCAGGGTTACCTCTCAGACTTGATTAAGGACTAGTTCAAGACTCATTATTGATATGCAGAATTACTGTCTGGGGTAGCACAAACCATATAGATGCTAATCCATCAATAAGTTCTCCTTATTAAAGAGCATCATTTATATTTCTTTGATTAATATCTTGCGATACAGAATTAAACCATGAGATATTAGATGAAGCTGCGAATAATTTGCGAGTGTCAGGTAATGTATAAATAAGAATATGATCCGTTTCATCCAACCTTGTCGTGTCAAACATACATATCGATCCTTCAATACCTGAAAATAGACCGATGCGCAAGAGATATATGATACCAAGGTGATGAATTTCGAAGAGCTTGGGCAGTAGAGATGCCGGTTGACAGTGCATGTCATGAGGATCTGTAGGCCATTCGAGGACCCTTCCAATTCAGTTCAAGATAATGAAGTGATCCTTCAGACCCAAGCCTTGAAGTGCCGAATTGCGAAAAGATAGAACAATAAGTAAGACCAAGTAATCTTAGACTGAAGGGTAAACAAAATGAAAGCCATTCGTGAGAAAAGGAATTATGTGATCTTGTGACAACAAAAGATATTAGAACTTGACAACCACCCAAGTCCAAACAAAGGTATGGGTAAGTAAATGCCAGGAATAATGCAGGTACAACATGATAGAAAAATGAATACAGTACCGGTACTGTACCCCATCATTTTCATGCAATCAACCTCGTTTTACCAGGGAATAGGTTGAGGCGCAGTGCCGCAGTACATATACGGACATCGACTAGGTACATACCCCAACATCGGACTGCGCAAAGACTAGTTCTTCGTATTCTGGTAATTAAAAGAAGAACCGTACGGCACTTCGGAGGATCAAGTAGATTTAATTGAGTGGTCATGTACCGTAAAATGTGTCGGGAGGATGATGGAAAAATGATCCCGAAATATCTTATTCGGGTTCTTTCACTCGCACTCGCTGGGAAAGGGGTTTCCTTGGGGGTTCATGCAAATGCAAGCGAATGTAGATACAAGTGACGCAGCTGAGAATGCGAAGTGCATGTTTCCTATACAAAAGAAAGAATATGATGAAGAAGAGAAGGAGAAGAAGAAGAAGAAAAAGTAGCCTCTCGGAAGAATCTTGAGTGAGGTAAGCATGACTTTGCCATATCATTGCATTGTACGAGTACAGTGAAGGATATTCGCCCCCAAAATAGTTGACAATTGAAACACGAGAGCGTCTAAAGGTTAAACTCATGGGACAGCCTGCGATTGGTTAATCTATCGAAACTATTATTGCAAAGTTAAAAACAAACAACCCTAAGACATTACTCATATACTATTTCACGAACTGTTGGTTGTTCATTCGCGATTGAGTATTTCCAGATGAAACAACTTAATGTTATGAATACTTTCCGTTGAAGACAGTGTCTCTTCTACGTCTAAGATAGCCGCTTGCAATAGTGCAAAAAGATAATGAAGAATTCTGGTCCATTGAAACATTTCGATCACATTCTTTGACTTCATACTTGTAGACTTGGGAACTTTAGATTTGTACTTGCCGCGCCTGATGATACCATTACAGGGCTCGAACCGAGTACATCTTACAAGTTCGTGGGAAGCTTGTCAATGTGAGGATATCAACTAGGTATCTTGACCTGTGTAAGATGGACCCCATGTAAAGAATTGGTATAAGCGTTGATACCGATAGGGTGAGACAAGAGGAAACTCCAGATAGAGCGGTTGCTGGCACGGACGATTGTACATGGTAGAGGAAGATCTCAAGAAACACTTTTCTTTTTTTCCTCTGGGGTGCCGGTATTGCGAATATCTGCATTTTATTCTTGTGTTGGTAAGTTATAAAGTTGCAATATCTACCCGCTGTTGGATTGGGTCAAATGTGGCACCATGAAGTTTTTTACTGATGATCATGACCATGGCTATGTGAGGAGGAAGAGTGTCTTTTTACCTTATCTTGAAGATAAACACCAAACACCGCCTAATGGATCGAGGTCTTGACTGGTCTTCATCGGGTTGGAATGCAATGTATGTTTGTTTGTTTGTTGAAGTACCTGCCAAACCATGTGCCGGCGTTCGGTATTGATAATAAGCGCCCTTTGAAGATCTCAAAATGCATGAACTGAGATGAATGTTGTGTATTGAGTATTTCGGTAGATTCAGATCAAGAGTAGGTAAGTTACGAGTGGGAACATACGTTGACAGGGGATTTACCATAGATATGAATGGATGGAGACTTGGGAGGAGCGGATATACATGGGGTGAATTGATTTCCCATCTGTGCACATGTGCATATTATGTAGATCAATGTCGGTGCTGTCCTTGGAAGCAGATACGGTACCCTAGCAAGTATGAATACCCAGGTATTGTTTTCTTTCGCAAATTGTAATCCAATCGCTTTTCCGGGTAAATAGAAGTTTGGGTGAGGAAGGTCTGGACTCGATGTCCTTGAAGTAGGAAGGATGATGGAGAGGGAGAGGATGAGGATAAGGAAGAGAAAGAGGAAGCAGATGTTGTTTCTAACTCGAGATTATCAATAGAATTATAACACGTGACGTCAAGATTCTATTTCTCTGTCACGGTACGGGTACGGTATTCTGGTACTACCATTTACGCTGTACTCGAGTAGTGTAGTTGGTTGTACTAAACTAGCAATACAATTTTAGACGCGCGCATCAATTAAACATTTCTTTTCCTACCATTATCAATACCTTCAATTCATTACGAAACAAGATCATTGTTATATGTTTCGCAATCATCTAATCTATCAAGATCTGTTTATCTTAAAGGGCATTTGCAAAATCTCATGCATAACCCCTTGTCAAATCCATGATTAACTATCCATTCCCTGCACGAACCCTTTTCTCGCTCCCTCCTCCCCTCACCCCCCTTGTACAGATATCCCCCGTTTGATTCTATTTTCAGTACGCGAACGCCTCATCCGCAGCTTACTTGTTGGCGCTCACATAACTTACGCGCCCAATCTGATATGTCTCCAGAATTCGAGATGAGACTACCGCCCATTGTCCTTAGAAGAGACCGGAATTCTTCTATTGACCAATATAATCATCTCTTGATCATAGCCCCTAGATCTTTGGAGACTTGATGATTTATCCGCGGCTACTGAATTAGATCCCAGTCACAAATTTCGTGCATTTACAAACGTTTGAAGACCCAGAAAGTCGGGGTCGGATTTAAAAGTCCATATCTAAAATCGGATCCATCATGTTTCATCAGTTAGTCGAGGTCTCATTTTTGGACGTTCAGCGTCAATGAGGCTATAGACACCACCCAAATGGCCCCCAGCGTCATATCTTCCAACAAATTATCAAGCTGGTCAATTCTGTATTATAAAGGTCGGTCGCCGGTACAGTGGCTAAGACCTTTCGTCCTCATTCAGCATTAACACCATCATCTTTCGGCCTGAAAGAATTTCCTATAGTCAATTCGCTTTAGATTTCCAATTCTCAGTCTCTGACTCCATTCGTTTCCGAGTCAAGTGTCCTCAACGTTTCCTGCCAGCTGGCCTGCAAGTTTCTTCTACATCTAATACTAAATCAACTTATCAATCGTTTCATCCCTTGTCCACTACTAAGTAGTACCGACTTTTCGTTAAACTCGACTTTCTAGAATGCCAAACGAACAATATTCATCTAAAGCAATGGATTACTATCGCTCACCACCTCTCGCCTCTAACACCCTCATATACCCACCCATCAATTCTCGACCCATGCCCGCACCATACTATGAACCACTTCAACACAGCTACCATAATATGTCCAGCTATGCAACAGGAGGTCCCGTGCAACAACCTCCTTTACCACTTCCGACTCAGCATTATGTCCAGAGTACTCCAATGCCACCTTCCATTCGACCTTCATCCGGAGCATGGACACCCATTGGTGATCGGACTTTGATAGCAGCACGCAAGCAGGGGTTGAATTGGCAACCTATTCAAGCAACATACTTTCCAACCAAATCAGCAAACGCCTGTCGAAAGCGTCATGAACGTTTGATGGAACGCAAATCTAGCGACGATTGGGATAATGTCAAATCTGAGACCCTCGCGAAGCATTATATGGATATGCGTAAAGAAATTTGGTCCGGTCTGGCTGCAGCTACTGGGGAGAAATGGACTGTTGTGGAGCAAAAGGTATGCACTGCAATTGACATACCCAATATTCATGCTAACATTAAGAAGTGTATGTCAACTGGACTCAAAAACATGCAAACATCTGCTAGAGCTTATGCTCGCCGCGAACGTATGATGGAAGCCGGGGGACAAGCTGGAAATGCACCATACTCCGACCACAATGAATATGAAGTTCACGAAGATAGTGGCATCAGCATTAACCTTGACGCCGATTATGACCGCGATAACGGCTCCGAAGCCTCTACTAATGATCCAATCAACCATACTCAACAACACTACTCATATGCACCACAAGTGCTTTCGGATGGTCGACCGGATGGATATCCACAGACGGAACGTAATGATGGTTACCCACAGTCGGATCGCAACGATGGCTACCCACAAACAGATCGAAGTACATATCATCAAGACAATAGAAATTCATTTCACTCTCGCTTACCTTCTATGGATATGGGCATCGATGCTATTATCAATCAACCATCTGGTCTCTAATCGACGGTCTTTATCTGAAAATTTCAACTTTCGAATCGTTTCAATAATCTAGAGAAGCCATATGGGTGCTCTCGTGGATGGTATTTTGAGGGTCAAATTTCATGACCTATTATGGGCGGCGCAATGGATTGTTTTGTTACGGGGAGGGCGGGCAATTAATGAACTTCTGGCGTTGGAGAAGAAAGTTTACTAAACTACGCTTAGTCACTAAGTGACTAGTGTTTCTTACAGTCATTTCAAAGTTGGGTTGGGATTCAATTGTCGGTTGGTGTTGCAACATAAGCATGACTATGACTTTACGTTTTCATCTCATCATATCGTTGGAAATGGAGTATTTGGATTGGATTGGATTGGATAAGATAGGATATGGGATACACGGTGGGGAGAGAACACAGGTTAGTTGGGGAATGGTATTGTCGGATACAGAATAATACAACCGGAAGGTCACTGAAGCTTTCTAGAGAAATCAAATATAAACATTATTTATCTATGCTTTTGTTTTCTCCTGCTTTATATTTTCTTGGCTAATTGCTAATTCATCCGAAGTTATTTATCTAGCGGGCTCTGATATCCTGTGAGTTCTTTTACTTATATATACATCTACTTGATATCGATGTTCATTATATTTACGTACTAGACAATAGAGTAGTCTATCCACCCAAAATTCGCAGTAGACATTTAAGACAACCAAGCACCAAGCACCAAGGAACATCAAGAAACATTCAGCCATCCAGCCATCCAGCCATCCAGCCAATCTACAGCCATCTATCCCTTTCCCCTTCCCCTTTCCCCTTTCCACTTTCTCCCCTTCTCCCCCTACATCACGATTCATAACTACTTAGCGACTCCTCCTCCACAACGAACTTCACTAAGTACACACACACTCGCTATTTTGATCTACTAATCCCAAATTCTAAGGTTTAGTACTACCGGATATTGTAGGTGAGATTACATATCAGATTTATGATTGATCAATGCGACCACTGGCATTACAATTACTACTAGTAGTAGCCACAAATAGCCACCAACAGCAAACTTTATACTCGAGTATATATATACTCGAATAATATAACAACAACAACACAACACAACACATCACCCCTCTTCTCTTCTACTCTACTCCACTCTACTCTACTCTACTCCACTCCACTCTACTCCACTCCACTCTACTCCACTCCACTCTAACAGTATTCTATACATACTCTATACATAAAACTTAATTATTTACAGCCTGCCTGAGGGATGATTCGTGATTCGTGAGTCATAGATAAGTAGGTATTGACATTTCACACCACTCATACTCACATTTATACCATTTATACCTCGAATGCCTAGAATTCCAGATATTCATATTCTTTTTCATATATTCATTCTCATTTTCATCTACTGTTATTTTTTATCCTTGAGTACTCACTCAAGTATAATACCGTAGTACAGTACGATTCTGAGTTAGTTATTTCCCTACTCTACTCGTAATGGCGATATTTGGTTTGTTTATTTGATGTAATCTTACAGTACGAGTATGTGTATCGGTATAGTACAGCATCGATAGAGATTCCTTTCGCTTGTTTCTTTCTTTCTTTCTTTCTCCTTACCATATAATTACAGTACATATTTCACTACTTGAGTACTCGTACTAGTATATTGTTTATTATTCTACGAGTTTTTCATGGCACTAAATTCGAACGAACTATAGGATTGTATTGTATTGAAGATTCATGTATCATGTATTATGTACTCGTATCTGCATCTACTCTATAATCATCCCATCCCAACCTATTTCCCCTCTCGCTTATTATATATTATACTATATATCGTATATCGTATATCGCTATAAGTAGTAGCCTAGTGCTAGTGTATATAGTATGCTAGTATGAAAAAGATTACGCAAGTATCGATATCTGATAATAATAGAATAGAAACTATAGATGGAATTTGATAATATCAATATCAATATCAATAGCTACTAGTAGCCTGGTCATTGGATACGATATATATATCTATAAGTATAAAATAAACATTTCATAATTTCTACTACTCTATACTCATATAATTTACTTAGTAGTATATTACTAATTATATAC